TCATTATATGTGGATCCTTACATTAATTGTTAATTGGAGAATCAAATCTGAATTAATTTCATATTTATGGTGATTGAGGTAAATAGGTGTAGGCTATTTAGGAAATAATTTAAAATTCAAATTCATTTGAATTTGAATTAAGTAACTTTTCAAATCAAATGAAGGCTATATTTGGAAAGTATTAAAGTGGTAATTAACGGGGAATCAAGGGGTAATGGATGGGTGGGCCGGCGGTGTGGGGGTGAAGGGTGGAGATTGGCCAACATTTTTAGAGTTGAGGAGAGGGTTAAGCCGGCAGGTTTGGGTTGGAGGGGAGATCTTGGTCGATGGGTAGGGGGAAGATGGGTGGAGGCCGGCGGTTGGAAGAAAAGAAAGGGGTGGCCGGTGGAGGGGAAAGAGATGGAGAGGTAGATCGTGAGTCCGGACTCTTTCGAAGGCTGACGGGTATTGCCTTTGCCCTCACCTAGGGACTTCTTCTCAAGAACTCTTAAGTCTCAACACTCGAGGGAACTAGAAAGCTGAAATTTTTTATTGATCAATCATTAACCTCATACAATAGTGAATGCCTCTATATATAGGCATTAAAATAAATGAGAAGCAAAAGACTAAAATGTCCTTTGGGCTACATCATAAACTAAACCTTCTCGGGGGTACAGTGGTAAACCACAATATAAATAAAAAATAAAATACATAAGTACATTATAATAAAGACTCTGAATCGTAGTCGTTGATCTACCATTCCTCTGATGATATACACGTCGAAATCTCCTGCTGATGTCCTCATTAGAGAGAGTGAGGGATTAGTTTTTTTTTTTTGAACCATGGGGATGGGATGGGATGGAATAGACAAGTCGCGAATGGTAGGGTAGGTTGGCACTGTACATTGCACACATCTAAATTTCACAGTAATTCAATGAATGTTTGAGGATTTCAAAATATTTTTTAAATAAAAAATATTGCGACCCAGACCTAAATCTCAAACTTATAAGGCGGAAACGAACAGTCAGACAGTTATAATATTTCTTTTTATTTTAAACACAGTTTATCATCTATATTTCAAATATATTTGAAGAGTCACTAAAACAAATTTTCATCAAACTACTAATAAAATTTTCACATCTTAGCATTTGTATAAATCATATATTACATGTTTTCATTTGACCACCGTCCTCCTTTCTTTCAGACATTTTCGCTTATTAGGAGTCTTGCCTGAAAAATGTAGTTTAACAGGTTGAGTTTACATGATAAACACAGTGATAATCACACCTATAGCATATCAATTTCACATACATAAAATAATGATATTCATTTGACTTTTTTTTGCAGTTTATATATATATATATATCATTTTCATTTCATATAACATAAATCTTTTTAATGTATTTATCCAATAACATATTCTTCTTCCATTTAATATTTATTTATTTTTTCCTTTTCTAAGTTTTTTTCCCTTTTTCATTTAGTACTAGAGCACTGTTTAAATGTACCAATAAAGGTACAATCATTTTCATTTCCATTTAACGTGCATGGATATGCTGCGTCTCTAGTCAGTACCATAAGGAGATAAACACCTGTATTTGCATGCATGCATCTTTCCCTTATTTTAATACTTCCATTTTCATAGAAATTATCTTTTAGTTTATTTCATTTTTTTCATATATTATAGTAATTTGTATGGACATTTTATTCATATACATATTCCTCAGTAATTCAATCAGCCTCAAGTTGGTTGTATATTTAACATTGAAATATATCAAATACTTTAGGTATGTTACAATGTTCTATAGCAATCATGTAGCAAATATTTCACTTTTTCCTTTATTTTATTCTCAGTTAATTTATTCATCCATTGACCATTCAATCAACATAATGTTATAATCATGTAATAATTAAAAAAAAATGAAATAACTTAAAAAGAAATGGGCATTGCTATAACACAATTGAAATTACCCAATTTTATTTTCTTGTAAATTGTCGATCCTTAGAAATAATCTTCAGTTATGCAGCTTCAATAAGCCTTTTTTCATTCTCTTTGAGTTGAGTCTCTTTCAACTAGATTTTTTCTTTCTATTTGTCAAACACCAATTATTTCATCAATTTGAAAAATTAAATTAATAATTTGAATATAAAGTAATAATTTAAAACACTTACTCTTTCCTCTGCTGTCAGAAATAGAAACCCATTATTTCGTCCTCTCACAAAATTTTCTTTGCCAATTTTATAAACGAATATCTTTCACAAGATTTATATCGTTCGACGATCAATTTCTAATATTCTCGAGAATTGATTATCTTAAATTAAAATAATGTGATCAGAATACCTCAATGACGATTTTCCAATTTCTTTCATTTTCTTATGTCAAAATTTTCCTCTTTCTTTCTAGCTCATATTTCTTCCTCTGCTATTAATTGACATATATACTCATTTTTGAAGTTTAAATCACGAAATAAATTTCACCAAAAATGAACCAATTGCGCGGACTTATCTTCCTTCTCTTTGTTCTTCCTCTCTCAGTTGGTTTTATCTCGTCTACTCTTTTTAGTCCGTTTCCTTCCACTAGAGCGAGCGAAATGAATATATCTCTCATGAGGAGTTGCTCTTTTTACCTCCTCACGTGATTTCCCACTCAATGGCATGATTTGACTCCGTCTGGAGGGTTTACGCACTCAGCGACTTCGTTTGGCCCGTGCATCTGGGTCTGGTGTTCACGTAATGGTCCGGCTCCTGAACAAATAGGTCGGTTCAGTTGAACCGATCATGTATGGTTATGAAAAAAAATATTTATTATAATCATTATTAATGTTTTGTAAATATACGTATTTGTAGAAAGTATTTTAATCTTAATTTAATAGAAATTGTTATTTTGATTTTAAAGATAATACTTTTTTAAACCTATTTTTATTATATTTCTTAAAATATTTTAATTATTATATATATATACATACATACATAATGTGTGTATTAGGAAAAATATTTTTTTAATATAGCATGCATGTGTTTTGATCCTCACATAATTTCTCATTCCTTCTGCGTCTTTCCATCACCTTGTTTGTGTGTAAACTTGCATTTCGCATTTGTGCGGTGGATAGACTAATACTTGTCATTCCTAGGTAATTTCAACATTTTTAACATGGTGGCACAACCCGTTTTTCGAAAGAGCGATCCTCGAGTTACTTTTGCTCGATGTAGAGTTCAGTGTCCACTTTTTTCGGTCAAGCTTCATCAAATTGATTGCGAGAGGGCTTTCTCTGGTGATTTTGAAGCTTCAGACATATCATTGTAGTTTGTTTTGCAAATGGATGACGTTTGAGTGACATTGATCATGATAGAGGTATTTTGAAAATCATTTGCTTGACATCTCATTTGTAATTCACCTTTTTCATCTCGTTCAAACGAATCGATTGCAGTGGTATGTTCTTGGAAGTCTTGGTGCTATGGACAAGTCAGTTAAGGCCATTTCGAAGAATTTGTTTGGCGTCGTGTTTGTTAGATATTATTCTAGTCCTGTTTGTGGAATTGGTAACGAGACACATATGGAATCTAAAAAATATATAAATAAGCTAGCTGTTATTTCATAGTTGAAGCATTCGGTTCTTATGGGAAGCTAATTTATACATAAAAGGGACCAGTATGCTCCTTCCTAGCCATGATTGACTAAACACGTTTAATAAATTAATCTCATATCAACAATGTTGTCATTGATCAACTCACATGTTAACAATCATTTACAATATTAATGTTGCAACTATTATATGATAATAATATGGTTGATAAATAAGTTAACACAATATTGTAATTTGATAAAATAAAGCGATGCAATCAATATTGAGAGATTATCCATAATGAAGCTCTTCATCAAAAGTGGAGCAATAATTTTGATGAGGTCAAGGTTTAGGAGTAACAATTCAAATGCATAGAACATGTGTAATTAACTAGCTCAGACGCATATAAGTATATAACTCAAACTATTGAGATAAAAATACATTAAACATTTCTAGAGGTCCGTTGAGACACCTCTCTTAATATGGTCAATAACGATCTCTTTGATTCTAGATCAAAAGGTGTAGATTATTAATAAAAATCATTGCGAAAAGAAAAGATTTATGAATTTAGCAACTCAAACTAAACCGCTAATAAAACTCGTTGCAAAAGACAAAATTATGAATTTAACTAGCCAAACAATCATAGTTATTTTAACTAATATTTATTCAATAGTTGTGTTATTTTGATGTCAATATTGGCCCATCATTTTGATTTAATTTCTAAACTTTTTCATTTAGGGGTCGTTTGGCAGGATGAATTTTAAAATCTTTGTGGATTTTAGAATTTCTTATTTCAATGATGAGTTTTTATTTATGTATTTTGAAAAATGTTTTTTGAATTTGTGAGTTAAAAACTCTTTATTCCTTTGATTGGGCGTGGTTTAAATAAAAATATTCATATACATTTTTTGGCCAGATGATCTTTTTTCTCGCTTCTTTGATTTTTTATTCATTGTAATTGGAGCTAGTAGAGTATTTGTCAATGGTCATCATACCCCAACTCCTAGCATATTTTAGATTTGCAGGATCCCTTGGTTCTACTGTTTTTACTAAAACATCTGAGAGTAGGTCTGACACAGTAAGCAATGTTTCTGTCTATGTCCAAAATCTGTAATTCTTTTTTTTTTTAATCTAGTAAAAGTTATGTTTTGCAAAGTTAAGGGTGCAATGTATTCTCAATATTAGCCCTTGTTTTAGGACATACCCTTGTCATTAAAACTTCACATTTTTCATATTTATCTATCACTTAATATTAAAAGATATATGTAGCCAACCCCATATAGTGGGATAAAGGATTGTTGTTGTTGTATCTATCACTTAATATTATGGTGTGCATTGCTATCTTTGCACTTTAAAAATAATCTATATGCTTATCTCATCAATCATTTAAATATTTTTCTCTTGCTGCATGGATTACCTTTTGACTACTAGTCTTTTAATTGGCACTTGATTTCATAGGTATGGACGCTTTCGGCCATCACAGATCTCTTTATCTAGGAAGCTTCCTGGATGGCAGAGGATGTGGTGGCAATATGCACAAAATGCTGTTTTAGTAGATGTTCGCCATAAATTGTGGAAAACATCCTGGAGCAGCCTTGGTAAAAGAATGTGAGTTTTCTTGTATCATGGTGATGCTTCTTTTAAATTGATCATAAATTCTTTTGTTCAACTCCTTTTATAATTTTTGTTTAAATCTTTTGCATTTGAGAGATTGGTTTAGGATTTAACACTTTGATGTAAATCATACTATGCTTCCACTTCTTTAACAGTAGTTTGCAAACTATTATTCATAACTAGTTTTTAATTTCATGTTGAATTCATCATTTTCTCTTAGGTGGCTTTCATATATTTGTATCCTATGCTCTAATATTCATTTATGTACATTGTTCTTTTCTCCCTTCTTAAATCAATTTTACGCTGCAAAGAAGAGTCACTTGGAATTGATGCGTAACAAAAAAAAAAAAAAAAGAGTAAATGTTTTTTGCGCAACAATTTACTATAGACTTATGAATCCCTTCCTCTTTCCCATTTTCATGCGTCACATAATCTTTTTCCTTGAATGAGATATTGTTAAATTCCATTGTTTTTAAGCTTAAATATGCTGATTTAGTCCCAATAAGATTATATTTTCATTGGCAAATCAAAATAATTCGAACCAGGCTGCTAATACTTGAATTGGGCTTGTTTTTTAGAAATTTGATCCTTTTTAAAAATTTGTTAAATTTTAGATATTTGATTTTATTTTTTTAATATAAGAAAAGTTAGGTAATCTCATCATTATTTTCGGTGATATGAATTTTTTATTTATCAATGAAATTTACTTATCAGTCATTAAAAATATTACATGAGCAAACAATCACAGAATTGTTACACAAAAATTAAAGATACAAAATACATTGGAATAAAATAACTAAAAGGCCGAATTAGTAATATTTATCCACAAAGATAGCAACAGGCCCGCGTTCAGACGCCTGTGAGGTCTTAAATGCGTCATGAGTGTTATTACATCTATCGTAGAATCTAATCAACTTGGGTGGATAAAGATTTTTTTTTTATTTCTACATTGAGAAAACTCAAGCTTTTCTGGATTCCTTTTGGGATTTCATTGGTCTTCTATGACAACTTTTTTAATGGATTGTATCCAAGATCTTTTGGAATAGGCCTTTTTTCAGAAGCTTCTTCATGGCTTTTAATATTTGAAAGATTTTTTACAAGTTGGACATAAGCTGTAGTTCTTACTAGTTTGTGACAGATCCCATATTTGTGTGGAATTTCATCTGCAATTCAATCGTTTGCTGATTTTCTCAGCAGAGGAAGGGAGAGCTTTATTCAACAAGATCTTGTTGGAGAAGAATCTGCAAATTATTCTTTCAGCAGTTGTTATCCAAATTCTAATTTATTTTGTAAATCTATATTAAAATTCATTCAATATTATTTTATTTTTTTATTTTGTCTGTTGATATTTATGTTATTTTCTTTTTTCTTGTTATTAGTGAGAATGGGTGCTTGCATTCAGCTTTTCAATTAAAAAAATCTGTGAAATTTTGTCTGTAGGTTGTTTATTTAATTTGCAATTATATAACTGATATGCATGGATGTTTTCTGCATATAAAGATTAGTTTATGATATTTTTTTGTAACATAGGTTTCTGATAGATTTAATGTGAGCTAATTATGCCTGCCATATTTTTCTGAATTTGTGGATGGAGAACGGTCTACAAATTTGAACAAAAATATTTTCTAACAAGAAGTTTCTTATGTGGTCTTCAGTTAGCGTCGTTGTGAGAGAACGCTTTCTTTTTTTGGTGATTATACGGTTATGATGATGGACGACTTGTAGATTGCCATCTCAAAATCTAACTAGTCAAATCTATTATCTCCCGTGCATATGTGAAATCTGTTAGAACTTTATTTGTTTGTAATTTTTATTTATTTATTGTTCTTTTACTACGAATGCTATTAACATTTTAACACATGGACTTTTTATGCAGTAATGAGCGACGGAAGTATGTTAATTTGTATAAAAGAAAGCTTGAACTGATTCAACAAGAACTGGTGACCTTCAATTTTCTTTACTTGTTTCTTTTTTGCCTTACTTTACGCGATAGTTTCATTTCACCCGTCTTTGCTTTAAATGCATTGGATGCTTTCGAAATCTTTTTCCAGCTGAAAAAGTGAACCAATTTTAACTGGTGTTTTCTTAGTAAAGCGAAGTGTAAAAGTTGTCCCTCCAACACTGTTTTTGAGGGGAATGCATGATTTCTTGTAGTTTTTTTTCCTTTTTGAATTTTTATTTTAGATGAAATGCTAGTAAAAACATATATTATTAAATAACTAATGAAGAAAATAGTTTACATGGGCACATTAAAGACTAGCTATGCAACGCAATAGAAACTAAAGTAGAACACTAAAAGCTTTGGGAGATTCCTCCGGGAACTCAGTAATTTCGAACTTCAAAATACAATCTATACTGCAACATAACATTGGCCTCATGCATCAGTGTAAACATCATAGAGGTCTTTTAGCTAGTCTAAATCAGCCAGCAAAAGCATAATTTTTATAGCCAATTTCTAATCAAGCAAGTCTTTAGTAGAACTGAACTTATCTAGTTTTCGTCCTTTTTAGGCTCATACATCAATAGCAGATCACCAATATCACATGGTACATCACATATCATTTTAGAAATAGCAAAAAAATCGTTAAAAATTGTGAATGATTTATTAATAATTCAACAATATAAGAGAATATTCTAGTGCTAAAATTAACTATCAATGTCAGATAGAGCATGAGACAGCTTTAACATTTAACATATAGAAATGTTTATATAAGACAACTAGATAAAAAAATAAATTATCATGACAATAAAAATAGCTAAATTTTATAAATAAAACCATCATTGTTAAAAAATGCATAATATTGCAGATTGGGCTCAACCACTAAAAATATTAGATAATATATACATAGTTAAAGGAATAAAATGCTATAGTAAAATCGAAGGAAGTACGAAGAAACATAATTATATGTAATGTTCTATTGACATATGAAGATTAGAGGGGTCAAATAGTAGATTGACCTGCAACTTCTAACAAAGAAGATTGAAGATGTGTAGGATTTGGGATCAAGAAGGTCACGTTGGCACAGTAGAAGGTTGCATTCAACTTATAGACATGATTGAAGATGAACAGGGACTCATGTTTTGTTTGGGAGACGATTTGATATAAAAGATTGAACATGATAAGGTCTTTCCAATTCGTTCGGGGTAGACTGTGCTCGACTCGCACACAAGATCAAAGACAAAGAGGAGATCACATGTCTAGCTTGAGTGAGGGTTGCATTTGACATATAGAGAGGACACACAAGATCAAAGACAAAGAGGAGATCATGTGTAGCTGAGAAGAGGGTTATGTGTGAGACCTAGTCTGACAAAGTGGTAAAATGTCAAGACCCGGTCCGGAAACTCGAACTAACAGGGCGGGAACGAAAAATCATATGTTTAATACATTTTTTTCCACAATTACACATAATAGTAAATGACTATTATTCCTCAAACACTGTAGAGCCACTAACACTACTATTATATTGAACATACTTTTAAACATAAACACAGTTTACCTGCTTTCATTTGAGCGCCGTCTTCTATAGACGTACTCATTTCTTTTAGCCATTTTCACTTGTCAGGAGATGGTAAATCTCCTGAAAATGTTAGTTTAATAGAATAAGTTTTGTAAACTCAATGGGTAATCATCATTAAGTATATAACACTAAATCATGTAAAATAGTCATATAAAATAAATATACATCTTTCTTCAACTTTACATAATTAATATATGCATATTCTTTCCTGTTTAATAGGTTTTATAATTTTATATAAATTATTTCATATTGTCTCATTTATTCATTTCCACTTAACATTTATTTAATAAATTTGATATTTAATTCATTTTCATTAGTACATGAACACCGTCTAAATGTTTCAATAAATTTACAACAATTTTCATTTCCTTTTAACGTGTACAACTACATGCTTCTCTAGCCAATACCATACGGGGGTGAACTCCTGTAATTTGCATGCATATCCTTTTTCCTTTTTCATTTCTTCATTTATGCTTTTATTTATAATTTATAAGTTATATCAACTTTCCTTAGCCTTTTTATTTTTATATGTATATTAGTATTATGTATATATAAGTATTTTTCAACTTCACTTTTATTTCCTTTACATATATTTTAACATTATATATATATATATTTCACATATTCATATACCTTCATACTCTCATAATAACAGTATATATTTTCAATCATTTTCAGTTAAAATAATTTCTATATCAAATTTTCATCATCATCCATGCATTTGAATTTACATTGCCTTACTCATAATAGTCTCCAAAAATAAGTAAAATAATTATATAAAATACTACTTTCAAATTTGAAAGGAAAATACAATATTGAAATTTTACACAACTGTAATTACCCACTATGAATATTTCCAAACTTTAATTCTTTCCAAATCCCGAGCTTTACTGTGGAGTTTTCAACTCTCATTTCATCTCAATCATGAAAATCTCACTATTCAAAATTACACAATGATATCTTAGTTAATGCTAAATTTGAATGCCTGAAATATAATACTAAAATTAGATGTTTTAAATATCATAAAAAAACATCCATCAAATTTTCTCCACAATTATTATACTATCTATCTTTATAATATAAATTATCTTATAAAATCTTTCCTTCCAATTGAATTTTCCCTTCCTTCACTGTCGAATTGAAGTTTATGTCATTTGAATTCTTCCTATCACAATAATATTTTCTTTCATTTAGAAAAATAAACTTAAGTTAATTCTAATAATTTTAAATTACTTCTTTCATTGTCATCAGAAGCTGAAGAAAAATTCAAAATCCCAATTTCCTTCCTCATCCTCTTTCAAATTTCGCCCTTTTCGCTTTCAGTCTCTTCCTTTGCCTTTAATTAAACATCTCTCACTATTTAGAAGAGGTAATACAGAAGGTTTTATCAAGAAAATAGGGAAAATCAACAAACCTTCGTTCTTTCCCTCTCAGTTTTCTCTCACGACATAACACATATCTCTTGCATTTTCTTTTACAGGAATGAATGCAAATGGACTTATCTCTTATGAGCATTAGTTATTTTTCTCCCACGTACGTGATCCTTTGCTCAAAACAGCGAACCGAGCCCTCCAGTAATGTTCGCGCTTGCGTTCGACCTGCTCAAGAGCGACTTGCTCGTTGTTTTGCCCCTGCTTGATTCGCGGTTTATTTAGGGGTTGGCCGATTCATTTTAACCGGCCAGTCTAAGCAGGTTCTTACAATCTCCCCTCATGAAAATTTCGTCATCAAAATTTAATAACCAGAATAAATATACATATCTTAATTGAATAGATGGGGATATTGAGCTTTCATTCTTCTTCTTTCTCCCAGATGGCATCTCTTTCTATTTCATATTTTCATAAAATTTTCTCAAAAGGTATTTCCCGATTCCTCAGTTGTTTTGCATTATATTCCAGTATTCTTTTAGTTTCTTCAACATATTTCAAATTAGGCTGCAAGTCAATTGATTTTGACTGAATTTTCTTTGACTTATCTGATACATACTTCCGAAACACTGATATGTGGAACACATTGTGTATCCCTTGCATATGCACTGGTAGGTCCAATCTATAGGCCATATTTCCTATTCTCTCAATAATTTCGAAAGGACCAATAAATCGTGGGCTCCATTTTTCTGTTTTTTCAAAACATTGCACACCTTTCATTGGACTGACTTTAATGAAAACAAATTCTATTAGCCTATACTTTGCATTATAATATTTCCTCTGTCTATCTTGCACTGCGTTTAATCTATCTCTGATTAATCTGATTTTGATAGTAGCATCATCTACCAGTTCAGTGCCTATTATTTTTCTTTCACCTGTTTCTACCCAATATTAGGGTTAGGGTGTTTTGCACTTTCTTCCATAAAGAGCTTCGTACAGTGTCATTCCAATGCAGGACTGAAAATTATTATTGTATGCAAATTCAATTAATGATATATGAGTTTCTCATTTTTCACCAAAATCCAAGACGCATAACTGCATTAAATCCTCCAAAGTATGAATTGATCTTTCTGATTGACCATTTGTATGAGGATGAAATGCTATACTGAAAGTCAATCTCGTACCCATAGCTTCCTGATTCTTCTTCCATAATCTAGAAGTGAATCGGGCATCTCTATCATAGATTATTGATTTTGGAATTTCATGTATCACAATTTTATCAACATATAATATTTCTAATTCAATAATTTCCCCTTGACCGAATTTTATTAAAGCCTTTAACTCTTAATTTATTTCCTAAACCAAGTAGTGGATTTAGGAAATAAATTCCCACCCCATCCCTCTTCATGCCGTCGCCCCCTCCTCTCTCTACCCGGCCCTCCCTCTCTCTCCAATCTCTCTCTCTCATTAATTCCCCTCCCGGATTTTAGGAATTAAACTTTCCCTCCTAGTCCTCTATTCTCTTATTCAAAAAAATCTGGAACTTATTTCAGATTTTAGAATTCGAACTTCTCTTTCAAATCTTTTTATAATCCCACTAGCAA